GCACGGCAGAAGTCTCGAAACCACTTTTGAGGTTTGGGATTCCTGGCCCAGTAGCAGATGAAATCAAATGTCAGCACACAGTGGTCGCTGTGTCCCCGTGGAGCGTTGTTTGTTACCTGATCAACGAAGTGTCTTTCGTTGGTGATGACCAAATGCAGGAAGGATGGTAGTTGACCTGCGCGGTATCTGGTGGGTGCAACGACATGTTGGGTCCAAGCGCTCTGCTGAATGACTCCAAACAGCGCCGCTGGGAAAAGTCCGCCTTATTCGACACGCTGGAGTTCCATCCAGGAGGCCTTTGGGGCGTTGAAGTCACCTACCAACAGGAGATGAAAAAAGTGGTGGTTGGAGGAGAGTTGCTCAATGGTTTGTATGAGGAATTGGTCATCCGCAGGGGAATCGAAGTGCTACGGTAGACCACGCCGAGGAGGAGAGAATCGGACCGGCAGAGCGGGATTTGGACCCAAAGTGTTATCCCATTTTATATCCCCACACATTCACCATGTTTTGCGGATCTCATCCCATCCCATCATCTTCCCAAGCTTCGAACTTCGGAAGTACCCGTTTTGGACAACCTGGTTAGCTGATACCCACTCTACCTGGCCTACGATCTACAACTCCGGGATCATCAAGCGGACCAAGAAAACCTACAATCCCATATCAGTTTCGCTCCAGCCTGTTTCCTCGACCAGGCTGAAATGAATACCGCTGCCCAATGAACAGCACGCCCCAGCTGATTCATTTCAAACGTGACGGGGCTGTCCAAAAACTGAAACATGTCAGGCCAATGATGGCACGGGACTGCCATATTCAGTTTGATATCACACCCGCAACTGTTCCATTCCTCCTACAAAACGAGCCTAATTGCCTATGCGATTCATTGACCCCAACCTAATTGCCTATTTCATTGACCCCAACCACCACCACGACATTCATTCTAACCTGTTGGACTTCTCTTTCGAATCCAACCACCTTTGTGTCCTTCCTCAACCTAACCCCAGCACTTAACTTTCCTACAACGGTACAAGCAGTGAGTCTGCTTGTTCTCAGATTGCACCATATTTTTGAGACTAAACTTGCCATGTTCTCTCAATTCGAATTATCGCATCTCCAACTCCACTTTATCCCGTTGTTACCCCGGCCATTTACCCAATCGCCCAGGGTCGCTGGTGGCCAGCAGTGGTTTTCCAGTTTTAGGTCATGTCAACCGACCGAGTCTTTGAATTAGTCGGACCTCATGCTCATTGTTCCTTACAAGTTGCGAAAGAAACCTGTTATCATTATCTTATCGACTACTCCTCACTGTTCATAACGTTGGCCCCATTTCGCGGAATCTCTACTGGCCGCAAATCCCCAAGTCACGCCCCATTCTGACTGTAAACGTATGAGCATGCCCGAAGGTATGCCACCCACAAGTTGGGAAATCAAATCCAGACCAAATTCGACACTGTTTCGATTTAAATTATTCGGTTTGACTATAGTGGGCTACGCTACTGTGGCTGCGTGATCTTACATTTCAGTTACTTTTAAGCGTCAAGAGAAGCGTGTTGCCGAATGATAATGTTAAGAAATTCACAATGAGTATAAATTGTAACTTGCCCAGTAGAACCATGGCGTACAGTTTAATTGGATCGACTCACTGGCGGTGCCAATCGAGCGGAATCGATATAAAATTTTCTTGGAAGGGTGAGGAACGAGAAATGTAGAGAAAATCGTTGATTGTGTGGGGCTGATAAACCGAAATGCACCGAGATGGTCTAATCCGAGAGTGGGGTTGGGGGACTGGTCAGGCAGGTTTGTTCGCATTCGCAGCTAGGGTATCTAGAGGGTGGGATGAGCAATCCAGAGAATGCAGGTGCATCAGGATGGGCATAGCGGTGCCATGCCATCATCACGCTGACAAGCTCAGATCTCTGGACAGCTCCGCAACGGACGCCATGATTGATGTGATCGGATAAAGGAGGTGTCAATTTGTTGCTAGCGTTATTTCAGGTTAGCCAAGGAGCCTCACACAGGTAGAATAATGCCGATGTAGGATCACGGGTAATTTGGCTCAGTTGGGGATCAAAGCGGATGCAAAGCAGAGTCCAGGTGGAGTGAATAACCTGCATAAGCGGCTTCCGGAACAGATTCTGCCGAAGATCAAAACTTGGAGGGCGGAGGAACTCGATGAGATCGATAAGGCCTTGTGCGTGTGACAGGATATCAGATGTTATAGAGTTCATTAGTAAAAGATAACCTAAAGTCCATCGCAGTTATGGAGGGGACAGTAGGTGACTAAACAAGCAACCCGGAAACGGAGGGTTTGTTCAGCTTGCCCAAATGATGCCAATAAATTAAATGGGATACATAACATGAAGGTGTGGTGTGCCGCGGCGAATTCATTCAACCGATGCATTAAACTGGATCCAGTTTACGCATTAACAACTTAACCGGAATATTTGATGTGAAAAGTGAATCGGATGCATGAACAAAGAAATAAGGAATACATCGGATTCGGATCAACAGAAGTCACAAGCCGGAATCAGGAGGGGTAAAACACGGGGGTTACTCTCTACAGGAGTACCGGGAGAGGAGGTCAGCCTAAAGAGCTAACTGATCAATAGGGAGTGTATATTTTTCTGCCTTTATTTTCCTTATATTACAACATTACGTATTTTGCCGATTTCATAAAGGTTTTTTTGTTTGAACACGAAAAAACAAAAACGGGCACTCGCACTATTTCACGGAAGACAAATGTGGACACTTACTCTGCAAGCTTACATTTCTGATTTCGCTCGTGCCTAGAGCCGTCATTCGTGAGATTCAGGGGCGAGCCCCGTTAGGGAGACATCTCAGTCTATCTTCGGAATCAGTTAAATATTAGAATTGTTTAGAAGTGTGCCTCTGGATAACCACGATTGGATTATTGTTCATTCGCCGACCTGAGCCGACGAGGAACTATTATAAAGAGAACAATTTCAGTGAGTCTTTTCCAGCCGACCCCTGTATCATTGCTTACTCAACATAGCGTTATCATTTTGGGTTCTTTGCCGCACACTCCTGACAAAGTAACTTATTGGGCAGTTAGGCCGCCACAAATTTGGTGGGCTTGAGTCTTCCTGGATAATTTTCAACTTTTCCTCTCAGGTAGTCGTGTTTTTGCCCGGCCAATATGTAGGCACGCTTTGCCTCGTCGGATTTAACCGGGAATGTAATTAGCATCCGTTTAGGAGGCTATAATCCACACAATCCCAGGGTGTGGTTCACTAGGTCGAGAATGTTTTTAATTCCCGGCGATCACTTCCGAGGCCACTCGCTTTCCGCGTGTCATCCAGCATCCTCCCAGTGATGTAACAACAGAAGTAAAAAAATCTATTGGAAGATATCCCCAAGGAAAATCCCAATGATGCTCTTCGAGCGTCCGTCATCATCCGGATGGGTTATTCTGGAAATAAGAGATTACGAGATTTATTCACCACAGTCCAACTTGTTGACAGATGCCGTCACAACTGCTTTGTCATATGCGCAGTCTTTTCTGCGGCCGTAAGCCGGCGGTGGAAATCATAGCGTAACTATGGCTCGTTAAACTCCCTTTCTCCGTGTCCTCCTTCATCAGTGCTTTCGTTGATGACCATAGCCTGGAGCAGCTAGCTCAAATGGAGAACGAAATCCATGAGACCTACTTCAGTCACCCTGTTAGTCCTGTCCCTCTCTATACACTCACTACATCCACAGATTCCGATCCAATGCTTCCTGATATCCCACAACTTAAAATTAGATTTGATACCATGACTGACTGCCTCCAGCGACTGGAGATCAACAAGCATCTAACCCACCCACGATCTTAATCGTTGTCTCCTTCCGTCCCTCTTGAGGCTGGTATCACCAACCTTACGCTCCTAAAGCACGCAGATACCAC